CTACAGAAAAGCCAATCTCCGGTATGTTATAACTAACTAATGTTTATGCGAGGCATCAAACATCTTTCTATTCAGGCACTCCAACAAATATCTGAATGATGGTATAGTTAAACACAAGTACATAACATATTGGCATCAACACATGTGCTTATTCTTTTCATTATTACTTCAGGCGTGGCACAAACTAAAATGGCATTTAACTACATAGAAAAGGAAGGATAGGGTGATTCCAAATGACTTACCTTGTCAACTTTGATACCAGGAACAATGTTTTGCTCAAGAAGCACATCAACGATCTTCCTTCCATCAATTGTGGATTGGTAGAGAGTTTCCTCAAAGAGAATGGCACCAGAGATGTACTGACCAAGGCCGGGAACTGTCACAAGGAGGGTACGGTATGCCTGGCGGTTAGCTTCAGTGTTCTCTAGCCCAATTGAAGCCAAACGCTTCCCACAGGTAGCATTTGACTCATCCATGGCCAAAATACCCCTCCCTGGTGAAGCCACAGTTTTCTGTTTCCACACAGCAAAATATTATTGCATCAACAATGTGAAAAACTTTACTTGGCGGTCAACAAGGACAGCTGCAAAGATTTAGCTTCTAAAGTAAAGAGAATATACTTAAGAAAACAAAGTGCAGTTGTAATCTTTAATAAGAAAATTTTTCATAAACACTACACTTTTGCATGTACTTAATCATAATCTCAAGTGTGACAGTCATAACTACACTTTATCCTCTAAATTCAAACAAAGCTAGTTGGAAAGCTAGAAATCAGCATTACTAAGTAGAAGATGGATTATGGGTATGAAATTGTGAATATTTCAACTTAAACTTATTTGTATACAAGTTTAGAAGTGCTTCTGGGACCTTTTTATTAAAAATAAAGAGTTATTTCTGATTAAGAAGTTCTTAAAAGCATTTTTAAGCTTTAATCGAAACATATTGAATCTAGTTAAGAAATGTTTTAGTATTTTCATTCAGTTGAGATAAATTTCTTCATAAACATCTATAGGAGGATAAAATAAGAAAATTAAATGCAATGAGCTTCCATGGAAGCTAAAATGAACTTATGCATCTTAACTTTCAAAGTAACTAAATGAAAAAATCTCATAAAAGTTACGTGCATAAGAGCCATCAGAGATTTGTTTACTATCATACCGCGGTCTTAACAAGCTCATCAGCATAGGAGCCAGCTCTGACGGTGAGGGCTGATGGGGTGGAGTTGCATCTTACAACTGCTGAAGAAGGTTGGCGAAGGGTTTGTCCCTTCACCCACTCAGACTTGTCAAGAACAAGTGAAGACTTGAGCAAAGATGCTGATGCAGAGGCCATTGTTCACTGCAGGTGTTAGCACTGCAACAATCTTATCTCCTACAGCAACCTTTGTATGCGCCTCTATACCACACATGCACCACTCTCACTGCATTTATAGTTCTCAAGTGATGTCTCGTTTGAGGCTGTTGTGAGCTAACCTATCCTCACTTGACATGTGGACGATAACTTCTGCTTCCTTCTCATTCTGAGTTTCCATTTCGTGGTTCAAATGGATGGTTTTTTTCTCACCTCGTAAAAATTACTCGGAAAAAAGAAAATAATACCGAGATATTTTTTCCCCCTTGTGTTAATAGCCGTGACAAATGTATTTCATGCATCAAAAAGGGTACCAATTATTGTTGTTTGCAACTGAAACAATCAAACAAGTATGAGGTTATTATTTACCTTTGTGAACAACTGTTTTGTCTCTTTATCATTGATTTATGGTCTAGGTTTGATGATAGGATGTTGTGAGATTGAGGTAAGGATTTCTCCAGATCATGCCTTGTCAATGGGCTTCTTGTAATTATGCCTTCTTCCCTGCCCCACATTGAAAGTCTATGATATTTTAGTAAGCTAATTAACATATACATACTATAGTGGAGTGTCACGCTCCTGTGATAAGCATGGCAGAAATTAAATTATATTTCATACTCTATTGTCAAATATTGGAGTAGAAGATGCTGATTTGTAATTGTTGATACCAAAAATCCTGAGGTATGACATGTTATTGAAGACAACAACATGGGTAGAATCCGTAATATGTTCTCCCTGTACCATAGCTATAACGATATGAATAACATGTAAGTTGGTACCAGAAACGCAGGTGGTTGGTTTGGAAAGTTAGGTGAAATTGATGTCCAAAGGGGACGGTGAATGCACTTGGGAAACTATTTGGTACCTAGACTTTAATCCTACCTTGTTATGCATACACACATCTAATTAAGTGATACCTTTTAAAAGAAAGAATTATCATACTCTAATGAACCTTTTGTGGTAATTAATTAGTAGTCTTACAATTTTTTTATATATAGAAAAGTTTAGGTTAGAAAAAAAACTTATCTTTTGAAAGCTTGTAGTAAAATTTATTTACTTAGCGTATGTAATAGGAAAAAAAATCTTATAATTGAAAATATGTTACCAACAAAGATTCTCTTAAATTTTTTTTATTATTATAATTTTGGAAAAATAAATGATACTCCTCATAGAAAATAGAGAGAGTATTGTTAGACTTGGTCATGCAAAGAAAAAACTCATGGAAACAAGTGTTATTAGTTACATTTTCACCATTAGTATTACAACTATTAGTTGAACGTTACAAATATAAAAGATTGTTGTTTTATCCATTAAAGAGACTGAGTACGTAATAATAACAAAAATTAATAAAGAATTGTTATGGCTTCAAGGATTATTAATAGTTGGGATTCATCCAAGAGAAGAGTGTTTTACACAGTGATAGTTAGAGTGTGGTACATCTGATAAAGAATTCAACATCTTATTCTAGAACAAACCACATTGGTCTCCATTATCACTTCATCAGATCATTGTTTGAGGATGGGGTGTTAACATTGAGAAAAGCTCTAGGAAGTAAGAACTCAGCTAGCATGTTGACAAAGGTAATAACCATTAACAAACTGAAGTTATGTTCACAATATGACTTGCTAGAATAACAAACAAGATAAGATTGTTGTATTAAATGAGATGTGAAGACAAATTGAAACCAAGCTTCAAGTGAAAGATTGTTAGACTTGATCATGTAAAGAAAAAACTCATGGAAGCACACATTCCTTTGTTAAAGAAAAATAAGAAAATCAATAAAATTAAAGGAATGCATAAAAATAGGAAAACAAAATGAGAGAAATATAAACTTTGCATGCATATATAAATAACACTATGTTATAATTATGTAAAGTAATTCCAACTTTGAAAAAGGAAAAAAAATGTTTAAAAAGTAATTTATTTTATGGATGTATTTAGGTTGTGAATTGAATGTTTATAAATACTGTTTTTATTTTTTTTCCTTTTCAATAATATATCTACAACAATCTGCAAACATAAACACAATCAGTTGAACTCCGTTATCAATTTTTGTGTATTATTATTCTTTATTTATTTTATTTCTCACAAATATAATTATAATAAATTTTGTATAATTTCTTAACAAGTACACTTATTTCTAATTATACTAATGCAACTCAAAAGTGACATATTGCTGTATACGTGGAAAAGGTGAATTTTACTTAATCCTAGCTTGTAACTCCACTTATCAACTAATATTTTCATTGCATCAGTTTTTCCACAACTTGCATAATAGTTTTAAAAAAATAAACTCCCTTTCAGGCTTTACGTTGGCATTTGTGAATTTTCTCCTCTCAAAATGTTAAGAGTGGCAAGTGGATAAAGAAGTTTTACATTGGATAAGAACAAACAAATTAAGCATCATATAAGTAAGAACTCACCCGGATCTGCTCACCTATGTTGTGTTCTAACTTCTAATAGCTCAAATTATGATTATGATATTGTACAGATGTGTTGTGTGTCATTGTCATTGGCAGACCAAATCCCAAAAAGCAACCTCTTTAAAATGAAAACATTATTTAGTTCATGCTTTGCCTAATGCCTATATCAGGTATTGGCTCAAAGCTTAATCTGTCTATGATTATGGCTTGGTTATTGTGAATTAACAGTTTTGAGAACCCATTAATAAAACTCAAAAATATTTTTCTATTTGACACCGGTAGCAAGGAGCATTTACTTTTGACAAAATTTTAATACACAAAAGGTGGAGTTTAGGGATGGCAATCAGAGATCCCTGGGAGTGAGTAGTAAGATACTTATCGTGTGGATATTCATTTAGCTGGTATTCACAAATTTTATAAATATTTACAAGTATCATGGATATTTATGAATTATTTTAAAAATTAAAAAAATATTATAAATAACTTTAAGCTTATATTTGATATTAAATATATTTAAATATTAAAGATAAATAATTGATATTAATTTTTAAACTTGTAATTAATGATAATCTTTTAAAATATTTAAAATAATATAAAATATATAAGATAAAAATATGAATATACAATTAATATTATTAATAGGTACATGTGAATATGTATACTACCTATCTACTTCTATCCTATTTATATGGATATTTTTGCCATCCCTTGTGAATTTCCCCTCATATCTGATTTTCATTTTCCGTGGGAACCTTATTCCATTCTTTGTTTACATATATGCCCAAATACTTACCTGCGGAAAGGAAGGGAATCATTGATGTTACTAAGCATAAATATTCAAATGCTGCAAAGTCTTTTCAATTCATGCTCTGGTCCAGGCAAATAATATTTATAAAAACAAATCTTTGTATCAGACAGTCAAAAGTGGCTGGATAATCAGTACGAAGAATTTAGTCAGAGGGTACTTCTTTAAGCTTGTTAAATTCTATTTAGCTTTTTATGTTCTTTAATTTCTTAACAGTGACACGTTAATCTTTTCCCTCATTGAATTTATGATAATACATCTATGATATGCGTATCAAATTAAATTGATAGAATAACACCTGCTCTTGCTAGAATTTTGCATCCACTAAGTGGGATATTAAGCACCCTCTGCGGCACAAGTCGTTTAGGTGAAAAACATACCTATCACCTATAATATAAACGGCAAACTGGATCTAAGAACAGTTGAAAGAAAAAATTAATTAGGGTCATCTATTAATCTTGATGCATTCACATTGTTCTAGAGGAGACTAGGGTCATCTATTACTTCATTAATTTGTTTCATTTTGCTTTTCAAATGATAATCACTCCCAATGTCTGCATAAATCTTGATGTCATCCATTTGGAGAAATGAAAAAAGAGTCAAAATTGAACTTACAATTCTTACAAGGCACTGCATCTATAACTTACTTTACACTAATATCAGAACTACCGTTTTTCACATTTCTTTTCCTGTACTTCCATAACCCATCCTTCTTTCTTTTCGGTTTCACAACACCCATCTTATTTCTAACTACACCAATCAGGGATCTCCTATCCTTCCTGTTTTTGATTGCAGCTTTCATATCCAGAATCGCTCGAAGCTTCTGGTAAGAATTGACATCCATCACCTTCCCACTCTCAACCATCTCCTGGTGGTAAAAAAATGCCTGCCTAAAATCTCGAACACGAAGAAAGGCATATATCATGGTTGAATAAGTTACAGAATCTGGCTTTAAGTTATGAGCTACCATCTCTTCCAACAACTCTGGCAGCTTTGAGTGTCGCCCTCCTCGGGCGTATGCATTCATCAGCATATTGTATGTCATCACTGTTGGGTGCAATCCAACATTCCCAAATTCAGATATTACATCTCTTGCTTCCTTGTAGTGACCATGTTTAGCAAAACCATCGACAAGAGTGTTGAATGTCACACGTGTTCCTTCAACTTTCTCCCTCCTCATCAACTTCCATATTTTCGTCATTGTTTGGGTGTCACCAGCACGTCTAAATGCATCAAGTAAAGCAGTGTAGGTTTCTATGGAAGGTTTAACACCTTCCCTTTGCATGTTTTCAAATGCCACATAAGCTTTCTCATGCCAGCCACTAACTGAATATGCATGGATCAGAGCTGTATAAGAATGTGAAGTGGGTTTAATACCTTCTTTTTTCATCTTCAAGAACGCATCTGCAGCCATATCACTCATCTTTTTCTGCTTCCCATATGCACTGATAAGACAAGTATATGATTTGGCATTTGGCTTCAAGCCAACATCCTGCATTTCATCCATCAGCTTCTCAACAATCTCAGGTTGCATTTTTCTGCTGTACGCATACATTAGAATGTTAAAGGTAGCTTCAGTTGGCCTAATCCCTTTAGCTTTCATCTCAACAAAAAGGCCTTCAGCCTCTTCTACACGGTTGGATTTACAATATGCATCCATCAGGGTATTGTACACAATTGCATTTGAAGAAACACCTTTCTTCTCCATTTCAGATAGGATGATGAGAGCCTCACTCATCAAACCCTCAACACAAAATGACTTTATTAATGCCCCTAGGACTTCTTCACCCCATTTGACTCCTTTTCCATTCATTTTCTCAAAAAATTGCCATGCATCTTTTGCACTATGGCCAAGTTTTCTCATAACAATAACCATGATAGAACACGTCACATGATCTGGAAGAACATTATCAGCTTCCATTGACTCATACACCTTCCAAGCATCTTCATACCTAAAACAATCGGGTAAACTTCAACAATAAACTCTCACAATATGTGGTATTTTAGAGAGGGGGGAATGCAGCGCTAAACAATTTAAGAACATTTGTCAGAGTAAGGAGAGATAAAAACAACAATTTTTTACATTGATTTCTGTACAAAAATTTAATATCTTTATTATAAATAATATTTAGTTTTGCAGTTTTAAGTTTGGAAGCATCACAGGGAAGTGGGTGCTAAACTACTAATACAGCTGCATAATTTGAAATATCTTAATTCTCTGACAAGTAGCCGATGAAGTTTCATAGACTTTATAGTTGTTCATAGGCTTCTTAATAACAAACTAACCAAGAAACCTAGAGAAAAAAAAAAGCCTAACAGGTAAAAGAAAGGACTTCCATCTGCCATAAAGGAAAAACTGAATTGGTATGTTATGACTAATGTTTTGCTTCAATCCCTGGAAAGGCAGGACTAACCAATATCTAGCTACATGATCAACATGGTGAAGTATATTTTATCTAAAAATATATATATAATATATTTCCACTACCGGGCATCTGCAATAAAAGTAGAGAAACATTTTAAAAAATAAAGACAGTACTAGTGTAGAAGCACCTTTGAAGAATAATATACAGTAACAACAGTTTTCCAACTCTATTAATAATATATATAATGAAACCAAAGTAGAGCCCATAAAGAGAACTTCCAAAGAATATGTACAAATAGTACAAGCACCTGAAATTCATGCCCAAACTGATGTACTAGCATTAGTGTAGTTAATCTTCATGTCAAAATATTGTCTGGTTAATGTCATCATCGATCAGAATTCTAGGTAAAAGTTGATGCAACATGTCATTTCCAGTATTGAGACATAATTAAGAATGGACATTTTTGCTACCACCGCTTGGATAACAAGCCTGTAGCACATTGTTGGTTTCTTTACATTTCATGATGATCAGAATAATTATAACAGTAAAACAAATGAACTAAAATACAAGTCAATGAATTAAACATGTAACATTCTATCTAAGCAAAAGCAACAAGCTATTTGACTAGCATTTGCATTCTGTGACAAAACAAGCAAAGCCATGATTTTGCAAGAATATTTCACCTGCCACTAGAAAGAAGACCCGAAATGGCGGCATTGTAAACATGAGCATCTCTGAACTCCTTGGTGGAAGGCAAGTTTGTGAACAAAACCATCAACTTATCACCCATCCTTGCCTTCCCCAACAAAGGAAACAAGACAGTACAAGCCCGAGGTGTAACAAGCGAGGGATCCTGCAACCTCATCCACTGAAAGAAATACAAACAACACACCAGAAGGTGCTCCTCCCCAAGTACTCTCAAAACCTCCCAACACTCTTCCTCACTAACCCTTCCTTCATACTCATTCAAAACCTCCTCTAAAGTCAAATTCTGCTGCAAGTTCCTTGCAAGATGAACAATTTCCCCCACAATGCCCTCAGGCAAACCTTTCTTCTCACACACCGTTTCTTCCTTGTCCTCAACCAACAAGGACCCTTCCTCCAAACCCGTTTCAGGTTCTTCTTCAACAAGGTCAGAAGCAAGGTGCCATGAGATGCGACGGTTCTTCTGAAGGGACAATTTTCCTTCTTTTCCAGGGTCTTGGGAGGAAACCCTTGTGCGAGTTTTGAAGAATTTGTAGATTGGATCATCTGGGTCATGTGCTTCTTCTTCTTTTTCTTCTTCTTCTACTGTTTCTATGAACTTTTGTTCATGTTTTTCTGGTTCTGGTTCTGGTTCTGGTTCTGGTTGTTGGAGATATGGGAGGAAAATGGCGGTTGGTGTGTTAGATGGTGATGCACATAGACATAGGGTTTTGGAGAGTGATGATGAGGTTGAGATTTTGGAGTGAAAGAGAAAGAAAGGTTTCGAAAGAGTGAGAGAAGTGGAAGAATAAGGAGGGAGTGTGGAGTGTGTGAGGTTCAGAGTCATGGTTAGCTCTGCAAATTCAAAGGTTATCTTGTCTGTTACATTTGCTATGTTCATCATGTCTTGTGTTGTGTCACTCAAACCAATACAAATAGGATTGTGTAAATCTGGGGGAACCTGGGTAAATTGATTTGGTCTTGGAGTAGTCTTAGACAGGTATGTTTATGGAAACATGTATTTTGAAAGTTTATCAGATTAATTAATATTTTTTTATAAATTATAAAATAAGAATTATTTGCCTTAGCCTTGGTTATAACTAATAAACCCATTCAAATTTAGATAGAATTGAATTTATTTAATTTGATATTTGATTTTAAATATTTAAATTGAAATTATGTAAAGGTTTGCAAATATGAAAATGACTTTCTTGATCAAGTTAAATTCTTATTGTAATGATTCTAAAACAAAAAAGGACAAAAATTAAAAATCAAATTGCTTTCTTTAAAAAGTAAAATGTGGAGAATTTTGTTTAGTATTTTGTGGACATGACACTTAAGGGTGGTAAAATAGGTTAATTCGACCTATTAATGATCTGTCAAAAATAGGCCGGACTAACACGGCTCGTCATTGTTGAAAATGTTAGTTTGTCCCGTCTAAATGTGGGTTGGCAGACTGACAGACCAGTCCGTATTACATTAAAAAATAAAAAAAAAATAAAAAAAAAATTATTGACCGATTGACAGGATGGACTTGACAAGTTAGAATGATGGGTTCAACTCGCCAATTTTTTACAGGCCGGCTCGTGAACCACAATCCATTTTGCCACCCCTAATAACACTTGTCAAAGTTTCCATATAAGTTATATAGTATTTGAATTTAAATTCATGAATTTGTGTATATAGTATAAATGGTAGTCAAATGTAGAGAAAAACACAATTTCTTTCTTATTTGCTTTGCTAGGCTGATACAAAATGGCGTGCAAATTAGTCAAAGAAACGAAATTATAATCTTGTCATGTTTAATTGTTACAAGAAAAAGAGAAAAGTAAGGCAATACAAGTGGACTCCATAGTTTTTATTTTCTTTATTTAAGTTTTTTATTAATAGAAATTATAATAACAATTATAAAATTTAAATTTAAGATTTTGTATATATTATTTAAATATTTCACATTTCTTCGCTTAAATACAAAAAAACATCGACGAAAGTGTGTAATTTATAGTCAAGTTTCAAAAATATCCTAAAATATCTAAAAATTGACATTTTATTAAATAAGACCTCTACAACTTTGTACTCAAATTTCATTGACATGTAAGTCATTAACTATCTTCTAAAATTGATTAAATAATAATCTTTATTTATTGTCATCTCACTAATCATTTAAAAAGTGTAATCAATTAAATACATATATCATCACATTTCTCCATTTTGTAAGAGTAAAATAAAATTTGTTATATATTATAATTTTTTTTCTTTTCATCCATACTAAATAATATAATAATACTATTTCTCTTCGATTTATTTCAAATCAAATAACTCAAAATTCTTTTATATTCTTTTACCTATTTCTCTTTTACATATTTTTATCTACCATGTTATTTTCCTCCCAAGAAAAAAAAAAGAGTAAACATGTTTTGGGTTTCATCCACTCACTCTTTACATTTGAGGTTTTTTTTTATTTTTTATTTTTAACATTTGAGATGTTTTGAGTTCTTAAAATGTGAGATAGAAATTTATAATTTTAGATTAGTTATTATATCAGATATGTTTTTGAACTATTCATTACTCTTAAATCAGTCTAATAAAAGATTAATAACTTAATTTTAATACAATTTAATTAATTTTTTCTAAACGGAGATGTTAATCATCTCATTTTAAACCTTAATGTAACTTAATTAACTACATATTTTATTATTATTTTTTTATTTATCAAGATTATTATATGATTTGAATTTAAAATTTTGTATATACTACTTCAAAATTTCACTATTAGACCTATCTTAATGGTCAATCCATGTTATAATTATTAAGAACTTTTTTTAATCTTTTGTCTATTTTAATATATATATATATATACATATGCTTTGGAGCTGAGTGAGTTAACATTCAATCTTTTTTCTCAAAACTCCTAATCTCAAGTTCTAGTGTAGAGTAAATGCTAAAATGTTTTCATGTCATCTCTTAGAGGGCCTAATTTAAATGCAGACATTTATACTGTAGCATCCTGTTATCACATTAAGGAATGTTGTGGTATGTTGGCTGTTAGGGATGTTCCTTTTACGCAATAGCTTCATCAATTAAAAGTAATTTTACATCATAAAATAAATTACTTATTATAAATTTAAAATATTATTTATTACAAAATTTAATTATAATATAATTTATATATTTGAAAATATATTTATTGTAAATTTAATTATATAAAATAATAACAGTTGTGCATTATACAGATTAAAAATAAATTACAAAAAATATACATATATATAACTATCCTACTTATATAAAACAATAAAGACATTACTTAATCAAATCCGGTATCTAAACATAACTAATTATTTTAATTTAAAAAATATTTTTTTATCGCATTTATTACCTTAATGTTCTTTATTTTTGTTAAGCATTTAAAAAAAATTGGAACGAAACCCTCTCGTCGCCGCCCCTGCAGCGCCCGCCGTCACCTACCAGCGCCACTCGTCTACTCTGACCGTCACCGTCACCGTCACCGTCACCGTCACCGGCCCGCGCGGCGGCGCCGCTCTTATCTCCTTCTTTGTCCGACTCTAGCGGCTTTTTTCTCTCTGATGTAAGTAGTTATGCTTCAACATAGTGCTGCTCATACTTGCTCTCCCCTTCTACTGATTGGTCTGTTATAGATTCTGCTCAAATAATGCTGATGTCATCTTTGATTCAAAGATACTTTTGCCCACTGCTACGATTTCCTTAAGTAATGATATGTATATATGACTCCATAGCTAGCCTTCTCCAAGCTAGATCAAGTTTGTGTTTCTTGGTTTATCCATAACCACTAGCTAACGCTTGTTGGGTCTCCTTGTGTTAACCTCCGTAGGAGTCAATGAATTTGATGAACCTCTCTGCAAGTTGCATTCAAATTTCATAACAAAAAACAATTTGAATTTGGAAAGATATTGGATATGTGTATAAATTTACAAGTTGCATCCAATATCGATTGTATATGTGTATAGATGATAGGATCGCTTTCTTACTGGATGTAATTCAGTCCAGTAAGGTCAATTCTATTCAGTTTAGTTCAGAACAAATGTTGAAATATGAAGAAACTTTACACGCAACACCATAGAACCAACTTATTGTTCATATTTTCCCATTTCTTCTTTTTCAGAAGTAAATCCTTTAAACCTTTATCACTTTTAAAATATTTTTTTGCCAATTAACAGACTACATGACAGCAAGAGATAATTTACACACAGTTCTATAACATAAAATGGACAAAACCTAAGCCTCAAATAAAGAGAACTTAGGAAGTAGATAGGAATTGGCCTGTAGAGAAGCTCGTCAATTTATGTACATGCATGTGTAAAGGAAGAGAGAAAGGAATTAACCTGTGCAATTGGATTGGGATGGTGCATTATCAACCTAACAAGTTTCTACTATATCTTCCAATTTGAAAGTGATGTGGTTGTGTTTCATTGGATTGGAAATTAGTTATATTATACCTGACCAGTTTGTCACTGGATTGGAAAGTGATTTTTGTCATTTTTTTCCTTCGTTATCTGTTAATATGTTATATTTATACCTGACCAGTTTGTCACTGGATTGGAAAGTGATTTTTATCATTTTTTTCCTTCTTTATCTGTTAACATAGTATATTTATACTTGACCATTGCCTCACATGCACAGGCTCAGAATAATACTGAAACCAAAGGTATTATCCCAGCAATGGTTGATGTCCATAACTTGACTTGTCAAACCTGTAACAATGTGGGTCTTGGTGATGGTTCTGATGGCTTTTTCTACTGCCTTCGCTGTGGCTCTCAATACGAGGATGTCATGGACACTGCTGTTGATGACGATGATCTCTTCAATAAGGGAGGAGAAACTGGTGGCGGTGCTGTCTACTTGGCTAGTCACCAACGCCAGCGATCTGTTGCAATCAAAGCCGAACCCATCTCTCAGTATGACTCCTTCTACAATTCCCAGTCTAATTTCATTAGGAGTCTGGGGTTAGAAGATGAAACTCCTCAACGAAATGATCATGGTCAAGTTAAAATAGAGGAATTTGATGCTGCTCAGTTTGATGAGGCAAGTCCTTCGGTTCCCGCTGATTTTGGAGGCTTGAAAGTTGCAAGCTTTGAAGACTACCACAATGAGATAAGGATGAGGTATGTGATGGGGTTGCAGATGATGATTGAGCTTCAGTGCGAAGCATTGGTGAAGGAGTTTAAGGTTACCCCTTTAATTTGTGGCTTGGTTGGGCCAATTTGGTTGAGGTTTGTCTCCAAGACTGGTGTTTTCGATGATGACTGGGCTGATAAAGTAATCCATGCCTCTGAGATGCAGAAAGAAGGTAACGTGAAGTTTCTTCACCTATATTTCTTCATTTAAATTACAATACATGTACGATGTACCCCTTTTTGTTGCCTAGTTTGGTTATTCCTTGTTCATGAAAAGTTTTACTAAATGCTTTGACTTTCTGTTCCTATGAAAATTTCATGAAACCTGATAATTCACTGAAGAGTTTACTCTCACTATATCGTAACTGATTAGTCGCAACTCAAATTGGTGTTCATTAAGCTTGGATTTGACCACTTAATTATCAAATTTATAGTACAAGCACTAAAATATGAGTATGAGATTGACAATTTTATACTAACTTCATGTTTTTCAATGTGTAGTTTTTCAGTACTCAGAAGAAGATACTTTATTTTCATCAAGCGTATCTTATAATTTATTGACTTCATTTCTTCATTGGTTTTAGATGAACCAGAAGATTATAAGCCACGTGCTAAATACAGAACAGAGCCCCATAATATATTTGGTCAACGAGCTGTGATGATATGGTTTAGGTCTTTAAAGAAAAGGATTCCACTAGCTTGTACTGTTGCTGTTTCATTTCTGGCATGTCATGTTGCCAGGGAAGCTGTCCTGCCATCTGACATGATGAAGTGGACATGTGAAGGGAAACTTCCATATTTCTCTGCTTTTG